GATTCGATCCTCGAGCCGTGGGCGCAGTACCGGCGCCATCTGCCATTGCGCCACTTTCGCCCAACCGTGATATTTTTGCAAAAAGGTAGAAATAAGGTGAAAGAACGTTTTTTGCAGATGCAGGTATTACAGTACTGAATGGACTAGAACAATTCTCTCCAAGGTTTTCAATATGATAATACCTTCTTACTTGCAGAGATGAATGAAGAAAAAAATGTAAGACTAAAATGAAACGCACCATTGCAAAACCAGCTAGCAGGGCCGATGTCCTGCTGCTCGCTTTGAGCTGAGCTTTACTCAAGTCGTAGTTGTACTTCTCCGACATATCCAATTCTCCTCGATGCCTAAATGGGATGATGTCAGTTTCCAGAAGGAAACAAATGGCAAGAGAGGGAAATCAATATAATTTGTAAGCAGTGGGCCCACTCCGCCCTTTATAAGCCGATGTTAACTGATTCATCAGCACTATCACTCGTTTGGAATCTTCGATCAGAAAAAAGCCGTGACGGTGGAAACACCTACGACACGAACAGTAAAAACTCCATGGCCCTCCCTCCAAAAAATACGAGACATTCGTAAATCTTGGACTACGTTTTTAAGTGAAGTTTGTGATTCGGAGTGATTCTGTAGGTGTTTCCTAAAGCAATTCCTAAGTTTCCCAAAGCATCAGACAGTAGCCCAGAAATAAAAAGTAGCCAGAAAATCGAACACTGCCACCTTCCCCGCCGTGTCCATAGGGCACCGAAGCAGTGATTGAAAGGTCAGTCACTGCTTCTGTGCCCCAAGGAACCAGGCTTTTCCTAGGGAATATTTCTTTCTGAACAATTATAGTAAACCTGAGTTTCTAGATGAGCCAGAAAATGGAAGCTTAGGTCCCCATAAAAGCGCGCGGTAGTTTGTCGCGGCTCGTACTTGGGTTCGGGTTAAGTTGCATTAAGGAATCCGTGTAAGAGGTCGTATTCGTGCTCGGGAGAGGGTTTTAATGCAGCATCCGCCAATTTTTCTTTAGTTTTGAAGAATTTATTTATAGCTAGGAAGTTTCGCTGTTGTATATGTAACTCTCCCCATACTTGATGGGTTTTTTATGAAATAAAATGGGAAGAGGGTTCTGCAATGGGGGAGGCGGGGGAGTATATTGGGGAAGCTCCCAGAACCCCTTGTTTTGCCCTTATTTGTAGGCCCTTTGGTGCGGGCTCACCTCAGACATTGAGACATGGGGATAACTGTACTTTTTTTCTTTCGCGAAAGATCTGGCATTTGAAGGACTCCACAGAGATGGGGGACTTTGATGATCTTAATGTGATAGGATTTGCCGATTAAATATCACGCGATACCTTAGGTTATCCAGCTACATAAAGAATATTTCGAAAGACGAGAAAACCGTGAGTGCAGACCACACACCACAAATGACGATGACTAGAAAAAAGCCACATTTTTCTTCGGCCGTCGTCACTTGTGGTGTGTGGATCTGCACTCGGCGCTCTTCTCGTCTTTCGAAATAGAGGGCCTAAAGGTGCCTAGGAAGGTATATGATGTTGGATAGAAGGCATCCCAATATTTGAGCTATGAAAGGAGAACCCAACATTGTGGTTTATATCGTTCATCATTATGGCATTGAGTTCAGTACGACTGTGCCTCGCTTCACAGCCAACATATCATCAATCTAATAATTTCCAAACACAAGCGCATCTCTAGTGGCTCGCGTTCGGTCGTTGTAACCTCGAAGTAAGGTCAAGAATCAAATATTTCGCTATGGTCAATGTGGGGTGCGCCACGCATTCAAAGTCATTGCAGCGTTTGAATGCGATTCGCATATCCAGTGACTTGCAACGGTCAGCTAATTTACGAGTGATTCATTTCGAGCCAAACCTGGTACCGATTGATCACTCCCGGAATGTCGGAAGGTCTGCTTGATCTGAGCGAGATTTAAACCGGGATTTGATGGCCGACTGTGCGCGTGGTGGGAGGCATACTTATCGCCACATAGCTTCGCCGTTTTCTCAAATCATACTGAAAAACCACC